GAGGTTGGAAGGCGACGACCCGACACCAATGTGTGTCCTTATGTTGTTGTTGTGATGGCGTGGGTGGTGGCGAATTGTAAGGAGGAGTAGTGAGGTGGAGGTGGAGGTGGAGGTGATGGAGGAAGAGGTTGTGGTGAGGTCGCACGGTGATGAGGTAAGTTGTCGGTAGTAGTGCATGCTGTGAAGTGGTCACGATTGCAAATGGAGCCAACTTGGCGGTGATAACGTGGGAAGAGCGTATCGTGGAAGTGAGGTGATAGTCAGCAGTGTTGCACACATCAGGTGGGGCTGCAGGAGGAGGCAATGGTCAGTGCGTAGGGTGTCACAACTTGGAGTTCGCTGTAAGGGGGAATTGTGAGGTGGGTTGAAAGATTGGCCTGTGGTGTTGTGGGTATTTGGCGTGCCTCGGACTTGGTATCGAATTGACGGTGAGGTGGGGACGGCTTCTGCGTTGCATGCACAGTCAAGTAAATTTATTTTACTATTAAAATTTTACAAGCAAATTGCTGCGATGGCAACGCCCAAAATGTGATATCATTTGAGGGCTCCTTCCTTTTTCGCCTTTTTTACCATGGCTGGAATGTAAAATGAATAAAGGGGTTGAGTTAGTACGAAATTAAAAAAACACTCTCGAATGCGGAACAAAGGTGGGATTGGCAAGACACTTGCCCACCTCCTTGATTTGCAAACGCTCTACGGTAGTCGAGTCGGTCCAATTGGGATGTCTAGACCACATTGCAACTCCCTTTGAAGTTGGCATTCCTTCCTACCGGCCACCTTAGCAGTCCACGAGGCATGCAAACACTGTACCAGGCGTGATGGACGTGAGAAGTTGACGATTGACGAGAAAGCGAGTGGAATGGAATTGTGGGCCTTCGACGTGGTGGGTGAAGATGGACTGTGGCAATGAGGAATGGCACAGTGGGGACACGCACCTCGACACAGACAGAACCACGGAGTCAGGTAGCATGCAGGTGAAGGGAGGGTGGAGGTGGGGGTGGTGACGGTGAATGAGTGGGTGCAAAGTGGACGATGATGCGTGTGAGTGTGAGGCCCAATCGTGGCTTGCCATTGCCTTCACAGTGGCTGTTGGTCGGGATTGTGTGTGGAATGAGAGGATGCGGGTGAGTGGGAGCGGAATGCAGGTGAGTGGGGGAATGAGTGAGGGTTTGAGGTGGAGTGATGTGTAGCGACAGCTCAGATTGTGTTGTTATGCAAGTGAGGTGAGGAGGTGGTGGCATTTGCGGTGATGACACTTGGACTGAGAGGTATGGTGTGCCTCTGTGGTGTGTGTGTGTGTGGAGGAGAAGGAGGAGTGGGGGTTGAGGTTGAGGTGGAGGTGAAGGTGGATGTTGGAAAGGGTGGAGTGCATTTGTGGAGGGATGGTTGAGAGAGTAGCGGAAAAGGGTGGTGAAATCACTGGTGTGGGGAGGCGCGTGCGACCACTTCCGTCCGTGAGGTTCCGTGTTGAGAGCGGTAGGATTGTGCAAAAGGAGAAGGGGGATTGATCAAAGTGTCGCATCCGTGGATGAAAGTGCATTTATCATGAAGTTGGGGTGGTGGTTGAGGTGGAGGAGGGTGGATGACGTGGATGAGAGTTGGGGGATGGGGTGGAAAGCGTTTTGGTGGGATGGAGAGGAAAGGAGGTAAGAGGAGATAGAACGAGTGGTGGAGGTGGAGGCGGAGGCGGAGTCAGACGAGTATGAGGAGGAGGAGGAGGAGGAGGAGGAGGAGAGGTGTAGTGAAGTGAAATGAGATTAGGTGGTGTGAGATGGAAACAAAGTTGCCATACAATGGTGGCACAAAGACCAATGCAGGTGGTGTTTCGGCCGCCCTCTCCTCTACCTCCTCCACTTGCCGTTTTTCTCGAATGCCAATCCTCGTCCCAATCATTGCACTTCTCAGTCACACTCAGTGGGATGGACGACATTCTCGCACTGCTTCGCCTCCGCTTTCCTCCACCTCAAGTGCATCAGCAGTTGGCATGATGTGTGCTCCTCATCACCGTCAAATAGGGTGACAGGAGGCGGCACCTTCGAGGGTGTCAAAGGAAGTGCGAAGGGGTTAGCGAGGTGTGCTGGTAGGGCTGTTGAATGCGTTGCACAAGTACTGCTTTTTTTCTCACCTCTTTCCACTATTGCACAACTTTTGCGGCCACCACGACGTACATGGATGGACTTTTCATCTCTGCGGCAATTAACGGCGAATCTCATTTCCGACTGTTTATTTCCTCTTAACTGTTTTTGTGCCATTATTTCTCAAAATTGATCCAGCATTTTATTTATTTTTCTTCTTGAGGAATATATCAGCTAATGATCACTTTTAAGTCTATTTATTTACCTGTTGATTGTAATTTTTGAAAGTGTTTGGGCATCTAACCTTGCAGTTGTCTGAGGTGGGTAAAGTTTTATGAATCCTTTTTTAATTATTTTGCATCTAATCTTTTCTGAATCACTTATAGCCGTATGTTACTTATACTTTAGTTTTGACTTTTCTGATTGCTCTCGGCAGGATAAGCGTTGAAAACGACTTTAATTATTGTCCGTTCGTATTCAACGGTTATGCTGTTTTTATGTTACAGTTTTGCTCATTACGACACATTTATTTTGTTTTTCATGTTGTGATCGTACCTAAAATGCGTCTTGGCTGTTTTGCTTACATTTGTGTCAATGCTGCAACATTCGCATAACTTATCGTTCGTCTCATAACTTTGTTTCAATTGATAGAATAAGTCCTTTTGAATATTTTTTATGGCTGTGTCAACTTTTCACTGGTCAATGTTGACTTTGCGATTACGTGATTGGTGAATCTTTTAACTAATCGCATTGGAGATAGCAGTAAATTAGGCTGCTCATTGGCCACTTGTCAAGGTAGCATTCTGTGAATGGGCGGAATTCAATCTTGATTTTATCAAGTTAATGTTTGATGGGAGGGTAGACGACCAGACACTAGCCGTTGTTTGTCTCGGTCATCAAGTCCTTTATAAGGCACAGCAGTAATCAAGCTCAACATTGATTAAATACTATAAAGTCTTTACTTCTCAACCCAAAGGTCCTAAATAGATAAATTTTAGCCACATCTTATCCACATCAAACTGGCATTTCGCGCAAAAGACGTCTCGTTTCCCTACTTTCTTTTCTCAGTTGCTCACTTACCTTTGGTCTCATCCTTTTATTAAGACACCTAATATTTAAGGCTTTTACCACCTTCAAATACTCTATTGTAACTAAGTCCAATTACAACACATTTTAATTAAGCATTCCTAGTTTAACTAAAATGTACTTGTCCAAGACACTTTATCTTTCCAGCTTTACGAAGCTGTTTCATTTGTTTTTTTGTTTGAAGTGTAAATGCTCATCGTCAGCATGAGATAATCGGGGCTTAGATGAAAATGGCGAGGAGAATGAAAGCCAACTTATGCGACCACTGTGACGCATTTAGCTGACAGCTCGAGAATGTCAGCAAACCGATGCTCAAACTGCATATTTTAAATCCATGAGTAATCAAGCTTATGGTGTTCCAACTACTAATAGCAATTTGAGTAGAATGTTTGCATAAGAAAAAATGTGTTAATCTGAGGCGAATAGACTGAGCTATGTAACAGTTTAAAGTGAATGGAACAACTGAGTAGTTTATCCCTTCCTAAGATTGGAAGGGAGTCTGTTCGAACCTGACCTCCAAGAGTGCCAGAAGTCAATGCCTCTTTTGCATTTACATGCCAAGTACAGTTGAACTTGGCTTCTAACTACCTAACGGCCACCAAATGGCCTACCTTTAAACCCCTCTCCAACTATTGAGGCAGTTAGAAATATTTCCATTGCGCTTAGAATCAGTTAATCGTGCCTTCCACCAGTGTATCAAGGCTCCAACCTCCTGTTTGCGTTGTTGGGAAGGTCAGTGCAGAGATATGTGACAACGATAAACAGTGAAAGCTTAATTAAAAGGCTGTGAACGTTGAGCTACTTTGATATCAGCTAGATGGTTAAGCTGACTTTAATCACAATTCTAGACTCTCATGCTGAGGCGGGAAGACATTTGAAACTATGCCGATATTTGAATCAGAAGGATACTCTGCATTCAAATTTTTTCAGGCGATGCCTGTCCAATTTCCGCGGGTAAGAGTGACATAAAATTGGTGAATTATGGCTTTTCCCCATCAACCGAACCCCTTGCACGTTAAAAGTCCAGTTACTCCTTTCAAGAGGTCACAGAGAAAGGATGACAGCAACAATGTGTTTGCTTGAGCCCTGCCGAGATTTATTCTAGTCAAATTAGCTATTTTTGATGCAGACCTGTTCAGCCGCCACAATTTTTAACGTCAGCATCAACTACATTTAGTGTTAATTTATGTTTCCAAGCCCTGTTGAGCATAATCAACAACGTCTTCTGATGCTGGTGTCGAATGTGACCCCACGCCGAATGCAACAAAATGGCGTTGGCGACAATTTGGAAGCGGTAGGAACAGCTCTTTGCAGAAGGGAAAAACACATCAAGCTGGTACGATAAGCGGTAACTTTATCCATAATAAGTAGAGCAGCAAACATTTACTGATTGTGGGACAACCTCCAGGTATATACTTCTTTTCGAATGTGCTAAAATGTTAGTCCCACCAGAGGGATGGTCAGCTTATCCGCAAGTATAAACTACGACAAACTTGTCCAAAAGACCATTGCAACAAATAGTAGGAAAGACTTCAAGACTTCAATTGGTGGAAGGTTGGAGCTATCACTATTGAGACGGTCTGTTGCGTTAATATACTAGGTAAGTAGTGGAGTTCGATAGACTTCGACCCTCCCTCTCATATACTACTCACATCAGTAGTTAGTAGCTTACCAGACATCGATCGACTGTCAGTCCTCGGGACCACGTGAATGCTATCTTTTGGCATATTCTCACCACTCTCATGCATTATTGCCAGAAACTTTGCATAACCACACGCCCAGTCCCGCATCTCACCCTCTCCCAACGGTCTCGCCAACGACTGCGCACACTCCTCCATCACCTCTCGAATTGCCACCAGTCTCTCCGAGGTAATCAGTCCACCCACGTCCCGAAACGGCCTCCCCGGTGTGAGGTCCTTTTGCGAGTAGATGGGTAGGTACATCCACGTCTGCTTGAACAGATGCTGTGACCATGACTGCATCGTTCTTGTGTTTGCTCTTCGCATCTCCCCTACGGGATACGGCCAATGCGAGTAGTTGTGCATGATCTTATCGTAGTCCAAGGCACCATAGATGCCATGCAGAGCTTGGATTGCGCGTTTGCAACGCCGAGGTGCTTCTTTATACTTGTCTATTTTGCCCTCTGCTTTTACCGCAAAAGTAGCGAGAATTTCACCGAATTGATTCAACTTGCTGTTAACATGGAGTATCAAGACATTTTGCAGGAAAATGAAATCACTAATACAACATTGACAGAGAAACAGATTAAACCAGGATGAAAGCAGTACACTCACAAACACCTAAAATTATCCCCTTTTCATCGTATTTGTGAGAAAAGTGCCCTTTATTCCGCTAGATTTGCAGTTGGCTGCTGCCTCTCCTAGAGATTGCATACGAACCCACCACATCGTCAAATAGACTGAACCCCCAACAAGTAATGGAAGAAACCTCATTCTATAGTTAGTCAACACCCAGGCCGGCTGACTAGTTGGTGCATGCACAAAATAAGTAACGCATACCATAACAAATGACCTCAGTAAAGTTCAATCCTAATAAACGACCCCAATCCAAGCCCTAAAACACGAATGCGCCAGCCTTAAAAATGCCACTCGGAGCAATGCGGAGAAGGACGCGGCCAACCAATCATACAACACATCCCAAGTTAACAAAGGTGAACGTAATCCAACTCGATGTGACCACACCAGCTCCCAAGCTTTTGGTTTCAGATCATAGATATGAACACTATTGGACTAAAAGCATGAAATAACCGCTCATAGACATGTCACAGTAGATGAGATGAAAAAAGGGAATCCACCAAGTCAATCATTGCGATGCTAACCCTAACTACATCCGACATTGCGCCAATAAAACACCCGACGAAAAGGTACCTCGGAACTCATGAGGACCCGACCCCCGGGGAAAACGCCCCCCTGCTAGACACCACCAATACCGACCGAAGCAATGCACATCTAGACACCCGGCACTAAATGAGAACATCCCGAACCAGCAACAGTGATGAGGTTGAAAAGTTACTGACGAGGCCGATTAAATACCCTACCGTAGAAAGACAGCGACAAACAATACGGAGGCAATAAAACGTATTTCATGTTACCAAAATGCAGATTTACAACGTTGACTACTACAACTCCAATTAACAAGCGTTTGTACATAACTCATTCCTGTATTTTCGCCAAGATGTCCGACTCACGAAAGAGATAATACTCCTGGATAATTGTACAAATATTAAGAGAATCAAGAATTACCTTCTCTTCCAAAACAACTTTAGTACCTCCGTATTCGGGAAGAAAAACATTGTCACCGACCTTAACGCTGAGCGGTACAGTAGTACCGTGCTAAATAAATAATCGCAGAAATGTAAACGTCAATAACACCTGGACAAACCTCGGTAACGCGGCCTGGACCGGCAGCAACCACAGTCGCTTCCAAAACCTTTCCTTTAGACTTGTCTGGAAGCATAATTCCCCCTTTTGTGGTTGAAGTCGCCTCAAAGCGTTGCACAAGAATGCGATCGAAGAGAGGTAAAAAGCGCTTGAAAGCCTTGGCCGCCTGCAATGACGGAGGTAAACAACACCGCACAACCCACCATTACGCACGTGCAACGAACAGAGAATATTCTGTTAGCCGAATGCCTGTAGAGCAGCCGATTAAAACAAATTACGCAAACAGGGCAAATAGCTTAAAAATGTCGAAAGTCTATGTTTGATTACTTAATAAATCCATGTTTATAGATCGATGCATAATTTTCTAGCTGTAAGTGCTCTTTTAAACTATTTTCGTCTTTTTAACGTTGACTGGCCACTTTTAAGCTTCGAATCGAAACGTGTCATATATTTACAAGTGAACCTCAAAAAAGTGTTTAACTATTTATGTTAGACAAACAAGAGTGACAGGTGTGGGCTTGTTTTATCGTTATTTAAACATTGGGACAAAACCATGTTTTGTATAGCGTATATATTTCCAGCAACACACACTACCCCACTCTGTTATACTTGTCAGCTATTCGTGTGACGGGACGTCACTTTATGATTATCTTGCTAGGCTCTTAGGGCTGTCCTTTGGACAAACCAAGGTCTAATTTCTTTCCCTTTTCTCTGAATGCAATCATGGAGCACTACTTAATACCTTCAAACTACATTGGTGGCTGCAGAATTCGAAATCTATTTTGTAACAGCTTCTATCTGGGCTTCCACCTTTTGTGAATAACTTTGGTGAGAATGGAGAGCATCGGTTCTAAGCAGGAGTGTCTCTAACCTTAAGCAATGGGAGGACTTATAACGGCGTCTGCGTTTGACATCCACCTTGATTGTTTATGAGCTCTCTGTAGCGTTCCGAGACTTCCTATAGGGTAGTAGAAGGCATAAGTGAGGGTGATTACATGTATTGGGAAGGCGACAGGGCAATTGGTGCCTGAGCGTAACCCGAATGCCAGCCCACGTGTAAAGGGGCCAGACAAATTCTAAAGTGACCGCCAAACGTTAGGTAGTAGCACAAACAAAGCATTACACTCCCCTTATCAGATCTGTGGATAGATATCGGAGGTCTCATTTAGCAGGGCCCCTCTGCCCTGCAGGACGGATCTCGATTCTGCTTTCCCTGCTGTGCTACTGTTTTAGGCCAGTATTCTAACGTCTGGCACGTCTGGCCCTAGACACAGTTAATGCTTAGCAGGAGTACCCACCCCTACTTTTTGAGCCAACCGTAACTCCGATCCAATTGAAGCTGTTGAGGATGCAGAGTACATTCCATTAACCTTGTGGTAACCGATGGCTAGTGTGGATGGTGCAGAAAAGTGCAGCGAGACAGCACCTGGGACGTTGCGCAAAGGAGGAGATGAACACTTTAGTGCTTTTTCTGTCGACTATCTCAGTGACTGCCTAATAGGAAGTCTTGGGACCTTACAATTGCCATTTTACGATTATAAGAAGACAGAGGCACATTAACAGGATAGAATGCACATACACAGCTCAGGAAAGAGTCTTCAAGTGCTGTAATAATTTATAAGGAGGAGGCGGGATTGAGAGAAAACGCATTCGCTCCACTATGGAATCGGGAAGTTAAAACAGCAAACGTTGCATTAAAGTAAAACTATTTATGCATTACAATTAGCTTTTGTGTTGTAATTACGTCTGCGTGCAACCCAGCCACGTTCACAAATCACTACTTCAATCCGATCAAATGGCAAAAAGTGGAGTTGACTTTTGTGTCTGTTAACTTAAATCGCACGGACTTTGCTGCTCCTATGATGTGAGATTCGAAAATCTGGAATGCAATCTTTGCGAAAGAGTACACAGGTCTCCAACCAGCAAAACTATTAGTACGTGACCAGGACGATCAGTAGGAAATCAAAGGCTTTTAACTCGTAAGTGCTTTCATTCATGAGCCTTTACTTTCGAGTCGAAATTGTGCCTACGAGTTAGCACCAGCGGACTTGAAAAAGAAAGATCGACCGTCTTCGCTATCACCCCGCATCTTTGTCGAAGGACTCAGCGACTTCTTGTGGCCATGCTTTTACCGTTTGTCAAACAAGTGTGAGGTTTCATCCCATAGCAAATACTCGATATTTTTGTAACGCAGATGAGTGGGTCTCTACGCTTCACCTCAGGCAACTCATCCAGCATCAGCAGAGGAGAGTAGGCGAAGTCACTTTCAGGCAAGGGCACGGCCGAAATGGCAAGCAAGGGCGTCCCCATTCTAGAGCACTACAGCACGCTCCCATGCACACGCAACACCTAGTCCCGCCACAGCACCAATTGGCTAGAAAGAAGACGAGTGTTTGTGGGAAGATTAGTCATACCTATGAACCGCACACAATCAAGGTTAGCGGCCGTAACTGGAGCGACAACGTCAAAAGCAACAAAGCCAGCCAAAACATGGCTGCAGGAACTATGCTACCGTGTAATAGTTGCAAATTTTCTTATGGAGTGACATTTACAAGGAGGAACACGGACACACTGGAAGTATGATCTATCGATTTTGTTATCCCCTATTTGAGAGGACCCCACTTTGAGCACGTCCATTTGGGTACCGCAGAAGCGCACACCAGCGACGTCGAATGCATCGCTAGCGAGTGGATCTTCAGTAAGAAGTCGGTTAAGGTTTATGGCTAGTTCAATAATCCAATCCACCCCAGTTTGACAAAAGGTGGTCTAAATGCCACCACGAGAAGTAAAATGCCAAAAGCGAAGGCACCTTAGGTCGTCTGTAACGTTAAGTGACTGGATTGCCGGAAGATCGACAAAATACGTCGAATGGGAAAACCCAGACATTTAGCCCAGCTACTTCCCCAAAGGCAAAAGTTACCATGACATCTTCTTAAAGCCCTTTCTGGGGTAAAACCATAGCTCTAGTTGCCAGCTTTATCACAGCCTTTCGGGATAGTGATGGTTGAGAATTATATTTCCCGATAGGAGCTGATCATTTCTATAAGGAACCGCTGGCTAGAACAACTAAGATAAACAAACAATTCTAGCCGATTTTCCCCAAAGGTCATCTAAAGAAAACAAAATATTGGAACTGCCACCGTAGTGTCTTTGGTTTGACCTGGCTAGACAGAACGACGTTAATAAAATAGTCCATTTCATTAACTGTGATACACTCTCGCCCTTACAAGGGAATCGGCAACCCACCGAAAACAAACACGATCAAGTGATTTGTGCATGTGCTACATCAGACAACCTAAACGTCAATCAGCACCAAACGATTTGTCGGTTCCCCTTTCTCCATCGGAAGCCCGAAACTTAGTAACCAAAATCAAATTGGTGATGCACAAATCCGCGTGTTCAGGAAAGTGATGCTTTCAAATACGTAAATGAGCGTGGAATCCGTAACACGTTAATGTCATTTGTAAAAAACTAAATAAACGAATTCTTCGTGAGAGGAAAAGTTGGCAGCCATTAATCCTCCGGAATAGGTGCGATTGAGCAAACTTAAGGCATCTACGGTGCCAAAATAATGGACCTAAAGTTCTTCAAATTCAAGTCGGGTTTCTAACATGGGAACTATGAGGTTTAAGCTTCTGAAGATGATGTAGTAGATGGCAGGCGCTAGTAGTGAAGATCGGCCTAATGGATAGAATGTAACACATAGGAAACAACAACCTTGAAAGGGAGGCCAGTATTCAAACAAATTCAATGCCACCTGTAATAATAGAGCCTAAGAACCAGTGAGCGATCAAAAGAAGGCACCTTTCCAAGGCCAGTGCTTATGTTGACAGACCTGAAAAGTGCAAATTGTAACAAACCAACACCGTAATCATCAGCGCAACCACCACGCACGTCTTTGCCCCATTGGATAACAGGAAATGACTCACAACAAGAGCACAGCTGAAACGCCTTCTACACGGTTATAGCGACGACAAAAATCAATATCAAGCTCTCGCTCGTATGCGTACGCAGAAGCGCTATCGATGGCGTCTCGACACCAAGTCACAGCACGAAAAGGCAGTCAGACCGACAAGATGAAGGGCAAAATGTGAGACCTAGGCGGAGGTAGAGAGAGTATAATAAGGGAAATAGCAGTAGTAGTAAAAAGCGCTAGTGACAAGGACATTATGAAAAGAGGATGATGGAAGAATGCACTGCTGGAGCGTGCGTGTACGTATAAATATGTGCAAGGTTTCCATCATTTCCACATTTGCGCAGTATTAGCAAACATTCGGCATTACTCGTACGCATGTGCTTGTGTAGATGGCTGTGTGTGTGTTTGTGGGCAAAGTGGGTGGAAGAGGAGGTAAAATTGTACGCGAGTCAGGCGGGCGACTGTGGAATGTAAAAAGCATGTTCGAGTGCGTTTGTGTGCACACGCACGCCTTCGCTCACTCGTTCACTCGCGAGTCTCTCTAGATCGCGGCGCGAGTATTCGTAGTGCTACCATTTGCAGCAGTCAACTTCTTGGGGCTGGATCCCGTGCCCCCGCGACTTCCCGCGCCGCAGCCAACTCCACCACCTCCACTACCTCCGTTTTGCTTTAAACCAGAGGCGCTGCTTGTGTGTTCCACCATCATAAGACTCTCTGTGGAGAGGAGAGGCGTCTGCTTCAATGGAGCCAGTGAGATACCACCGCCGCCGCCAGCGCCTGAGTAGACGTCAAGAATGATGGGCTAAAAGTGAACACAAAAGGGCCACAAATAAGGTATGGAAGAGTCACCTTGGAGTACCACAAAAGTGAAATGGACCTAAATGAACAGACAACCCCCAACAATTTCATAGACTTCCCTTTCAACCCAGTCCTTATGGCACCCCGCTTCCCACTTCGCTACTCTTATTTATCGCTTTTAAACTATTTAATTGGTTTTTATGTAAAATGGATGGAAAAGGCGAGTCAGGACAATTACCTGGGGAGTGGGGGTGCCATAAAGGTGAGGAGTTTGGGGAGCCTGTTGGGAGGAGGTCTGACCTGCGCAATTGCTGATGCAGCTACCGCTGCCGTTGCTGTTGGTGGAGGTGGCAGTTGGCGTGACAGTTATTGTGGTGTTGGTGTTATTGTGGTTGTTATTGGTAGACGGTGAAACGAGATGTCTATGAGTAGTTAGCAGGGGACTCGAGGTGGCCGCTATACCTCCCTCGAAGATCGCAGGCGCGAACACCGCAGTTGGCAGAAGGGTAGGCTGCAGCTGTTGTGGTGGACTCATAAGGCCGTCACAATGAAAAATACCTGGCTGTAAGGACGAGAGAGAGGTATAGGTAGATACAGTGACAATGGGAGTGAGGAAAGAAAGAACGGAGAGCGGAAAGTCACCACAGAGTAAGGTGAATTAACGTCAACTAGATGAAGATGACGAATGAGGAAAGTGGAAAGCGGAAACCAGAAGAAAACTGGAGAACGCTGTCTATACCACAAGCAATATAAGGTTAGAGAAAATAACTAGAAACCGAACTGGGCTACGGCATAATCAGCAGCAGCATCAGCAGAAACTCTTAAACTCGAATACATGTGATGGTGGTGAGGACGACGAGTTTGATTAACTATCATACCTCTACCGACTCCATGAGGCCCGAGGAATGGGCACTGTGATCAGTGCTATAGTCGCTTGTCGTGGTGGTGTTCGGCAGGAAAACCAACTGCTGCTGTTGATGATGTGGTTGTTGTGGTGGTAGTGGCAAATCGTGAGAGTGGATCTATATCAACCAAACACAGAAACGCTCGATCAGGCGAGTTGCACATGGACACAACGATAATAGCAACGCCAATGACGATATACTCTTTCTTTTTCACTCATTTTACGTGCACAAGCACGCAAATTCTAACGGGGATAAAAGAGAGGATGGGAAATTGAGTGGCAAGGAGAACAGGGCATAGAAATACATAGGAAATCGGAAAGGGGAAGCTCTAGTTTTAGTCATCGGATTTGAGGCGGGGTCGTTTGGCAGAACGCATCTCTTCCCCATTGGAATCCCCAACAGCAGGAGCGGTGTTCGCCGTTGAAGCCACCAAAGCAGGATTATTCAATCCGAAAGCCGGCTGTTGTTGTTGCTGTTGTTGGTGATGTTGGTATAGAAGCCTCGAGAAGAGACTCTCGTAAAGACCCCCACTCACCTGTTGAGATGCAGTTTGTGACACGGACTGCCCAGTTGTTGTCGCAGACCCGTTGGTGAGAGCCGAGGGAGAGGGTGCCAGAAGAGCACCACCGCCACTGCCGTGTTGCGAGGCAGCGGCAGCGGCAGCGGCAGCAGCGGCGGAAGGCGAGGACCACCTCCAAGCTGCAGCTGCTGCAGCAGCAGCGGCGAGCTGTTGTTGAGCAGCTACGGCAGCTGCCAGCGCGGCCACTTGCGGTGACTGAGTGGCGTCAAGGACGCTACCACAGTTGCCACTAACTGCACCACCCAGCGCCGCTGGGGCGTGCTGACCTACTGACACTGAGGGTGCTGGCGTCAGCTGTGGTGGAGGCGGAAGAGCTGCTGCCGCGGCTCCAGATGAGTTGTGACCGTTAGCTGTCGAATTGGCAGCATTCGACCATTGAGATGCCGCCGCCACTGCTGCTGCTGCCGCTGCCATCATCGCTGCCTGCGAAGTTTGCCCCCCAGTTGCAAGTGGAGCTTAAGGGAAGAGAAGGATGGACGTAGAAACCAATTACATAAGTGGACAGATGGACCTCTCTAGAGTAAACTATGGATTGTCACATTTTGACAACTTAACAAGTTTTTGGGAATAGTATTTCCAGTGTTTAGCATCAGAATAGGAGTAGCTGTAAATCCAAGCTCAAATTAAAAACAAAGTGCCTTTATGGTTGCAAATTCATTAAACAGTTGCAATTTCGGAACTGAAAAGTTACATATTTCCTCTAAAATTTGAATAGTTTCGCCCTGACCTCAAGCGACAAAACCTATCTTTATTGATGATTTACTTTTGGTTTGGGAATGTCTATGGTTCCGATCCTTTTACATTCGCCCTTCTGTATCAGAAGTTCCTTATCCCACAGTTACTCACAGTTATGGCTTTCAACAGATGTGAATCAACAAGACTGATTTCGCAACTCGCTTTAGCCACCAAACACCTGATTAAATCACAATCGCGAGTTCTAATGAAATGTCCACGTTAAGCAATGCAAGTGGGTAATGTAATGTAATCATTTTAAGTGAGAAAAGCACAATTCCATAAAGGTGGAGAAAAGAATATGAGGAGTGGATGAGATGGCGTACCTGTGAGGGAGGCCTGTTGGTACTGCTGGTGGTGCTGGAGTGTGGCGAAAGTGGCAGCTGCAGCGTTTTGATGAGCAGCAAGGTGCGACTGAAGCGCTGAGTACTGTACTGCAGCTGCCGTCGCTGCTGCTGCTGCCGCTGCCTGTTGGTTTGGCTGCGGTGAGAGGTACATTGCACCGTTCGCTTGCTGCAGGAGCATCTGTTGGTAGGCAGAGCCCGGCTAAACAAAAGGTAGGGACGATTGAAGGTATAAATAGTAGTCTAGTAGTCTAGAGAATCCACTGTTCACCAGGATGCCGTGCCTTATAGCATCGTCAACTGTTTGTGGTGAGGTATAGGTCCACTCCAATGCAAATGATGATAGTCAACGTAATTTTTGAATGTTGTATGGGTGTCTGGGCTATGACAAATTACTTATTCAATCCACTAATGCATTAGTAGGAATTTTACAGAATAAATGAAATTCTGCGCAACTTGTTCAGCCTGGGAGTAGTTTATTTTGCCATAAAGTAAGTTTAAATGAGATTTACCTAACCTAACTTAGCCCCATGAAAAGTGAAACAGTCTTTGCCAGAGATTTTGGAATGTTAAGCTGCGATTTCAAAATGACTAAACCGAAGGACCTGAGGTCACAAATTGTTCAATACTTATCAAAAAGAGCTTCGCAAAAGTCGGACCACACTAAGGTAATAGCCATACCTAGGTGCTTCTCCTATGCATTCGCACAAGTATCAAAGTTATTGAAACTTTTGGCTTAACAAACGGGTAACCAATCAGAACTGAGAACACTGAATCGCAATGGAAGATAAACGTGCAGTACCCCGTGAGCAAGGTCTATCGGTGTGTAAAGCAGACTTGCTTAGAACCGAAGTTAAGGAACAACTTGTGCAAACTTGTGTGCAAACTTGCCTGTGCAAGCACCGAATAATCTTGTCCCGTCAATGGGAAGACTGGCATACCACTTTGAAAGCTGCAGGGAATTGCGGCTCCACCGGGAAAGAATAAGGTTGGCGGGACGTCAGCTAAAATCGAGGAAATCAATGCATGGTTGAGGAGTGATATCGGGGAGAAGTATGCGAAAAAAGAGGGTGACAGTCAATATTTGGGCAAACAATGCATGCAAGAAAGCAAAGGAACAAAAACAACAAGATAACGAATGAGCATAGAAATAACAGAAGATGACGATTAAGAGATGGATGTGCATGTGGAAAAAATGGGCGAAGCGCGAAGCCATGCGCATCACCATAAAAACGATCTGGGACTCTCACGCACGCACACAAGCCGCACAATCGGGCTCGACCAACATACCTGGACGTGGGAAGAGCTGCTGCAAACCAAAACACAAAGAAGGAACGATGCATTCAAAACAGTGAGACGAAATGGAGATGAATTTGGAGGGAGAAGAGGAGCGTATTTTGTAGGCATGCAAGACGCACCAAGACACACTCGCACACAGTACGTACAAAACTAAGCGAGGCTCACCTGCTTGCGAATGGCATGGCCTATGTTCAACTTGCGATCCTTGAAGATGAGCGTCTCTGACTCATTTTTAATGATCTTTTCAGCCACCTCCTGGCTTTCGAATGTGACAAAACCGTAGCTCCTAAGTCGCCACGAAGAAAAGGGAAAAAGGGAGTTAGAAAGCGCAAAATACTGTTTACAAATATGAGCACATTACTTATACCCCTTCGAGACACCAAGTCGATCGTTGATGATCTTCACGTCCTTCACCTGACCAAAGCTAGAGAAGTACGTCTTGAGTTCCTGTTCAGTAGTCTGCAGAGTTTAAAACGATATTTATGGCTCCAAAAAGCCTGCTTTAAATCATTTCAGACAAGCAGTATAAAGTTTCCAAATCAGTCCTAACGATCAGTCCCCAAAATGCTAAAAAATGGGCCAAATTTAGGTTCGTTAAAAGAATAACCAAACTGCCTCATTGATGATGCGAGCGTAAATGAAGTAAGGAGTGCCTGTTAAGTTAGCAAAAAAAGCTGGTATGAAGGTGGCTCTATAGCCGTAGAACAAGAGAATGCCAAAACTGACTTCGTCAATAATTTTCCACTGAATCGCTAAAGGGTAATGTAGTAATTGGGAGCACATAGGTCCCCATAAATTAGGCAGGAGAGTAGTGACGACGACCTAACATGATACATTTTGGACTTAGCGTTGTTTGGGAGCTTAAAGCGAACGTTATCGCATATGCTTGGCTCACTTTGTGAAATAATAATCGCATCAGAAGACCGAAAAAATCCATGAATTAAAGTTTTCTTTAGAGCGCGAGGCTTAAAATGCTGTGCGTAATCAAACGAAACACCTATGGACCACAAGCTCCTTAAAGTGACGTTTTGCCATGTAATGCACGATATGGCCAAATTAAAGTTGATAGGGAGGAAAAATTTACATTTAAGATGTTATTATGAGCTTTCGCAGCCTGTCAAGAACGCAGGAAAAGCTACTTGCTACATGTAAGTCAGCAGCAATTCAAACTAGTCGGAAGGCCACACAATGGCAGATTATTAGATGCTTTAAACTATTACCCACTCCATAAATATATTAAATATCTACTTTGAGGGAAAAAGTTGAGAAGGTAGGAAAGAACCCTATTGCGCAAGAAACAAGGGTTAGAAAAGTCATCATGTGTAGAGCGCCGAGGGCACGAGATCGTGACGAAAGAAAGGAAACACTTGCATTAGAGGGAATGCCGCCCACGAAGATGCGATTGGGGATTAAGGTGCCGAATTTAGGCGCATTGGAGGAGGAGCTCGAGGTAGAGCCTGCGCCGAGCAGTGCCTGTCCTGCGTTTGCAATCGGCACGCCCTCGGGGTCCACGTAGCGTGCAGCAAACTCCGAAGCCTGCACGTTTACGCTTGTCTGTTAGGACAAACGCACAAATGAAGAAGACAAAAGGATCGCCTTGTAAGAAAAGTGATTTAGGTAAATGGAAAATGCAAATGCCAAAGTGTATGAGAGAGACATGTTTACGGCTATTGACAAGCAAAGAAAACATGGATCACGCGAACAAACACAAATGGCGGCTATAAAATCCCCCATACTTCAGAGAAATATTTATAACAAATGAAACCAAAGGGATGAAATAAAATTAAATCAGGTAGAGAAACTACTGTTCGAAAGTCATGCGTAAAAGTGCAGATTGCTAACTCAGAGGAATACAACTTTTACTACTGCTTAGCCCTAACAAAAGTCCATTTAGCTAAAGACTGAGAAAATTATAAACAAACAGCGACTTACTCGAAATGTATTACTTTTCAAAGATATGGAAGTAGCAAACTTTGGATGAGGCTCTACTAGAATCTGATGCCTATAAATTGGGTCAATATTCTAACGTTAAGATTGCATAACAAAAGCGAGGCCAAAGCGCTTTCAAAGATCCGCCCAACATAAAAAACAACCAACAGCTGACCTACTTAGCGATTACACATGGGAAATGAATGTATGTCTAAATGCTTCTGGTAGTTTTCAAGCAAATGGTGTTTGATACAATCACCAAAGGCCTACCTTAACTAGAGCGATTGATTAAACCGAAAGCATTAGCGATTCCTTGACCTCATCTTACTGGATTAACTGCAGATGTTAAGATTATTTCATAATCAACTTCCGAGATTAAAACAAGTGCCTTCGGAAGACGAGACCAAGGGTTCAAACAAGGAGAGCCTCATCACTGGAGAGTATAGCCCCAAGGCATAGTAGCTGCTCGCATTTGAAGTCCCAAATTGTCGCATCCCTTCATTGTAAAAAGGAGTCGATCGATCTATAACACACCCCTAATTGCTTGCATTTGATATTGCATTAAACGGTCTAGTCGCAATATCTGCGGATAAAGCTGTCTCACGCTTTGCACAACGGCAGACAGTGGCAAGCGGGATCTTCAGGTCTAATAAGGACAGCAAGGTTTTAAAAGCCCAATAAAACTGTCTTTCATTCAATCTAAATTGCCTCAAAATACAACAGTGATTTCCAAGTTTAGAAAGACGGATAGCAATTCCTTGAGATCTCGAGCAGTAAAAATGGCAAGTAGCTGAACACGAGTCTACCATCTTAGCTAAGAAGGTATGCAACCGCCTAGCAAAATAGGAAGCAAGCTAAACCGTATAGCGTAAAAGGAATACAATTAGTCAGACACACAGTAATAAACCCAACAATTTGGCGTGACGACTAGAAATCAGAAGCCCAGAGGAGAGCTGATTTTCTACGAGGAAGACTGCTCACCATGAGTGATGAGGAAAGACTTGAGTTTGGCGCTAAGGTGCGAAAAGGAAGGAGGAGGAATAGCAAAAGTCGTAGGCAGAAGAGCAGGAGCAGCCACGAAGCGGCGTCAAGATGGACTGACTGTTGAGATTCACAAAATGCGCCTCAGTCGTCAATGGCTGCGTGGCGATCGATTGGGAGAAAACGAACGTCACCAATCAGGGCAAGGTTAGTGGCGTGAAACAGTTGGTTAGGGGAAGTACGCACGCGCGCATTTCACCAACCAATCAGAGGAGAACGAGTGCACGCCTCCATGCAAAATATTTTTCCCATTTCCTCAAAATTGAAATTGACAGTTTGTTTTGCCTTAACCGCCAGAAGAAGAAAGTATTTTATTCGTTTAATAAGGAATGGTCAAAATTTGAGATTCTTTGGGAAATTTGGCAAGAGTCAAAAATGGGGAAGGCAGAAAGTGAGGAAGAAGGGACTACAACACTTTAAAATCTTGCTCATTCATTGAAGATTAACAGATAAGAATTTTGAACTACGAAGATTTCAGCGGCATAATTCATAGGTGCATATCTGCTTGAGATGAAGTTTCGGTTAAAAGTATCGCAAATGTTTCCGATTAAAGACATCTGAATAAAGGTCTTAGGCATCATGAGAGGCAACATCAAAAGGTCGAAATTCTCATGCACATCCGAAGTCTTTTGTTGGCATACAGCTCAAAGAAGGTAACTCGATACAATCTATCCATTGGGAGTGAAACGACCTTGGTCCGTTTGCGGCTCTTACCGAAAATAATAATAATAATATATATCGCATTTAATTCTCCCTCCGACCTGGAATTTAGCTACTTGAATAGTTTCCCTGAAGTGAAAAAAAAGGAACAGGTTTTCTCCTATAAATACTAAAAATAGAGGAGCCGTAGGTGGCAAAGTGATAAGTAATTCTCTGTATAGCTCTAAAATTCATTTCTGAAAATTACAATGTTGAATTTGGGCCTCCTGTCAAGTTATCCCTCCACAGATCAGAAATGACAGTAGTTTAAAAGATGCTTTATTGTTTTCTTTTGAATTTATCAATTTCCACACCAAAACCACCGGCCACCAGTAATGGTGGTGCTAGCCTATGATCGCTGGTGGAATTTTTGCACACTCAGGCAATAAACATCTTATTGCCTTTGAAATAATGCACCCACTGTCACTACTCTCTCGCAGAATGCCATTTATAACCATGTCCAAATCGCATTTCTTGCTTCAAAATGCAATTTGTTCGGTTTAATCAAACAAAACTATGAATGAGCTGTCTAGGGTCCACTTGATCTAAACTCTGTATATCGATTTTGGCTACCCACGTGTGCATCGATTATTCTACGGCTTTAGAGCCTTAGCTCCTCTTCTGCACCCCCCTCCCCCATCGTTTTTACATAGTGCATGGCGTGCGGTAGGTGAGTCGAAGACGGTGAACTGTGATCATGACGTGTTCGTAAATGAGGTCTAATCAGCGCTATCACGAACATCTTGGTAATTACAACCTTCCATCCCTTGTGTCCGGACCATTTCCCCTTTGGAAATACTTTAACAACTCTATAATTTAAAAAGCATTCAAATGAGGTGCATTCTTATTCTGCTTTTTTGTTGAAAATGGTTAAAAAATTAATGAATTTGTTAATGGAGCGTTGTTTGAGATTGAGGAAACTAAAGCAAAAAAACCTTTGGCTGAAATATTATTGCGTATAGACATTTAGGAATCGTTATCATATCGTTGATTTGAAATTAGCTATAAGATTCGGCCAAGCTTAATTAGAGACATTCATCAACGGGTTATGTGGGTAGTTCGATTTGCTATTACTTTGCTGTAAGCAGAAGGTAATTTAGCAAGACGGTCGAAAAGAATTAATTAAACACAATCGATTAACACTAAAAAATAGACAGGTGAGCAATTAAATTACAATAATCCATCAATAAATCGATTCTCATGCATGTTGAAACCGATGAAATTAAGTTAAGTTAATTAAAGACGAAATGCGCAAACGTACTTTAAAGAAAAAAAATAATGTTGATTTTAATTAGGTAGGTCCAACTTTACGTGATTAGGGATGTCAGATGTGATATCATTTCTACAACAACCTAATTATGCTTTTCTAAACTAGCTCATCCTTTCTTTTACTCCATCAGTTGCGTTATGTACACTTTAGATGAATCTCAAAAATGCAATTTTCGACCTCTGGGAAAAATTCCTTAATTAATAAATTGCTGTTTTTTGTGTCTAACTCCAATTGACAACAAACGTTGCTTCAAATATTATGATTTGGTCATGATGAGCGAAGGTCTTGAAATTTGTGTAGGCTCTCATAATAACTCGATTATTAATATTTCATAAGAAATTAATAGCAATACTTAATTGAAGTATCATATTTCGATACTACGAGATGCTAATGAGTAGTTGGAATGACTCCTAAGGCTGACCATTAGCAGGATTAGAACTGACTCGCCTCATTTACACTCTATCCCTCGGCGATTTTCTCGACCAACTTACCATCCTCCTTCGGGCGACAGTACTGTGAAGTAGGTAAAGCTGTGCTGAATGTGATTTAAGAGACGACTCTCCCAATCTTCGAAGTTACATGTAGCTCAGGTGATATCTGACTGCTACGTCGAGAGCTCTATGATAGATATTTTAAATAAATAGGTGCTTAGGCCTGTTACGAACTGTGTCAGGGAAGGAAGGAATGTGCCAACAATCATGCTTGTTTATAGCTAGCCTTAGGGACACTGGCCTAAACGTGTAATTATGCAATAAAAGGATTGGATGCTACCTTGTTTTGTGGGAACAAAATTTTGCGCCTATTTCTCATTCTCGCTTTGTCGTTACTTTGGTGCTGCCCATCCATATCCAACTGATCGAGAAGTCGGGAAATGACATAAGATAGTTGCTACATTTTTTTGATTCAAGCTTAAAAATAACATTTGGTAGCTTGACAGGTTGTCTAGTTACAATTTAATCTTTTGGAATTATCATAATACCAAGCACTATGCAACTCCAATCCTTCCAGCAACAGATTGACATCACCTGTCAGTCCTTTACCCAAATGTTTGTCCCTCATAAAGACCAGCTTATTTTCTTCGATAACTTTCAATTTTATACCTTACTTATTCTAATCGTAATCGAAGGCTTAGCACCTGCTGAGCCAAGCTTGTTGAGTCATCCACCACACGTGGAATTCATTTTGTCTAGGCACGCGAATGCGTAAGGCTATTGATCAGTAATTACTGGTATTAATAGTGGAAGTATTGATTTGTCTTTAATGATCCACAAATCCAGATTCGTTGCGCCCCGAGGCAAGGGTGTCTCAAATTCTTGCTGAACCTAAATTAACAGGTGGTGCTGAAACCTCTCGTGATTGAAGATGACCTTTAATTTATCAAAGGCATCATACTACAGAATTCTCCTTCATAGAAAGGTGTGCTTTAGGATGGTAAAACTGACGTCATAATACTAATAAGTAATGCTATGACGATTCTAATAGAGGCGTATTTTATGTCTGGACAAGGTGTTAGAATGAAGGTCAAATTGAATTATCCAGGGAAGGTGTTTACTCCTCCTTTCGCCTTCCGCTACAACCAGGGAGAAGCTATTGTTACGCGCAGGTCATACGCAAT